GGCTGACCACACTACACGCTCAAGCAAACTGGTCAAGTATGCTTGTACATATTGCACGAACGTGTATGATGTCTTGCGATTTTAACTATGCATTTCTGTCATCTACATATTCCAATAAATTTCCACAGGCATATGTGCTTGTATATACAAGCATTTAATATTTGCTTTTATATTTGACTTGGCTAATTTTATAGTATAGCAGTTTTTGATGTGCATTAATCTTCAATTAATACAAGAGATCAAATTTGTTAGTATTATGATAAAATGCAAAATAATTAAGATCTATTTGTGTTGCTTAAACTTGTGTTGCTCTTTCAAAATTTTTACTTTTCAAAATTTAAAATGAAATAAATATACATTTGGGTGTTGAAGAAAGAGAAGACAAAGATGCTGAGTGCAAAAAGTAAACAGTGCATAAACAGATAATGTTCTAATTAAATTATAAATGTGCTATACACACTCTGGTTTATATGTATGGTTTGTATGTACATATGTACGAGTTGTTTGCACATAGGTATATTGAATAAATTTTTATATTTGCTCAAGTCATTTGTATAAGCGAAACTAACTGCAGATTTCTGATACACACAGTTTAAGTGTACAAGCGGCTTACGCAAGCATACTTGACAAGTGTCCTTGGCTATGTATGTGGCCAGCCCAATGAATGAATACAAAATCGCAAATACTAAACAGAAAAAATTAACGTTTGTCTGCGTGTGCGTTTTGCTAAGAGGACTAATCTACAGAAATGAACATCAAACAGCGACAAAATTTTTACAAATTTTTTGCAGGTGAATGTTAGAAGATTAGATTAAAAATGCCAAGTTCGTACCTATATGCCATTAATAATGAAGGACGTGTGTTTGGATTATCGACATCGGGAAATATGTGGCGGGAATTTATGTATTTAGGCCTTGAATTTAAACAATTATCAGCTGTACCACATTTTATGTGGGCCATTGGCGGTGATCGTCAAGTATATGTTCATGTTCATGGCTTAGATATACCAATTAGAATCAAAGAAGAAACTTATGAGAATGAGGTATGTTTATCTAAAGTATACCATCATAAGTTAATAATTCAATAAGATAGCATATAAATCAACGACAATTAATAATAATAAACATCATGTTAGCGATGGTTGCCTTTGGAGGGTTTTTCTGAAAGACTACTTCCAACGGACAGATACAATTTTTCCAATCAAGATGGTACAGTTGATCGTAGTAGAGATAAAGTGAAATTGCCATCAATGGCATGGCAATGGGAAGGTGACTGGCAAATTGAAACAACATTAGATGGCCAGCCATTAGATCATGATGTAAATACAGTCCTTAATGCTTATAAAATCTATATTGCTTATGTGTTTCCTTTTCTGTTTTAATCTACGATTTTATACATTTAATATTGTTATGCCCGCGCCATGCCACTTTCGAGCGAAACAAGTGATCGGCGGAATGAATAAAATTTAAGAGCGCGTCATCGGGATTATCAGTTTCTAAGCTGTTCCGAGCTGTCAATTGGACATCTGATTGATCTTGTGAATGAGCTGTCGCTTATATGTTCAGCTTATATGCTCCGAGACCGCTTCCGTGTCTGTACGCTGTTCATATTCTTTCGTTATTCTATGTTAATAAATAGTCTTGCTTTCTTTAAATGTATGTCCCTTTTATTCCTGTAGCTTGGGAGTGCGCGTACGGGTTTGCGATTACGAATTAGGTGAATTAACGGAACGGTCGCGCGAGTGCAACAATAAAATTGTATAAAACGAACCTGTACAGATAATAATTATCGTTTTTAAAAGAGAAGTAACTTTTGATTATTTAATTGTATAAATAAACTTTAAAAAGTAATTGCGGTACTGAAACATCTTTGTAGAAAAAGCTTAATATTTTCTACATTGTTTTTACATAGAATCTAGAGTTATATACTAAATATATTTTTTGCGCATTCCATAAGTGTTATATTTTTCATAAGATTTTGTTTATGTAGATTTGTTAACAGTTGTGTCCACGACCAAAGAAAATCTTATGATCACAGAGAATCTGATGTTTTAATATAGGGATGGACATACGCAATTGACTTTCCAGCTACATATACTACAAAAAAGCAGTGGAAATCTTGTGTAAGAAGGCGTAAATGGGTTCGTTATCGGAGGTATAGCGCTATGAATTCATGGTGTGCTATTGCACCTCTACATAAAGATCCAACCAAGGTGATGAAATACTATAATATTTTTCCATTCATTTTTGACAATTTTGCATACACACACACACACACACACACACACACACACAATTACATTTTATTTATCTATTTTATACATTTTATTTATCATATATATATATGTATATACACCAGTGCCACATATGTTTTTAGGAACCTTTTATTGATATAGCAGTGGGTGGAAATCAAATGCCTGGAAGTAGTTCGGGTAATTTAGTAGTCTGGGCAGTAACGGCTCATGGAAGGGTATAACATTTTTTATTACAGCTTTCCGAAAGATGTAAATATTTAATAAAAAAATTAGATTACTATTTGTATCAATTTGTCATTTAGATCATGTTCCGTGTTGGAACAAGTACAACCTGTCCTGAAGGACAAAGATGGAGCGCTATCAAATTGGCAAATGGTTACGAAGTATGTCAAATTAGTGTTGGAGCAACCGGTCTTGTTTGGGCTGTACTTATGGTAGGCAAAGCGTTAGTTCGTACAGGCGTGACAAGAGACAATCCAATGGGTAAATAAACAAGATAAAATTTAGTTACATTGGCTGCGTTCGGAAACGTTGTTCAGATGCCTTCACTGCCTTGGATTTATCATTTTGTCTTTGTTTAACATTAATGTCCGAACGCAGTCATTGAGATATTCTAATACTTTGATAAAATGGTACGAATTAAAGGTGAAAATTGGTCAGAAGTGGAACCACCGCAGAAAGACTTGAGATTGATACAAGTTAGTGTCGGTATTGATGCTGTATGGGCTATAACACATGATGGCGGAGTATGGTTTCGAAAGGGCATTCAAGGTGAAATAAGTGGCGTTTGTGAACAATTAGCCACTGGAACCGGTTGGGTTGAAATGTTAAGCAAAATGGCATTAATATCCGTTGCTCCAAATGATCAAGTAACGATGTTTAATCAATTCGCAACTTATGTCGTAAAGAAAATAGAAAATTATATATCGAATTGTATATTTACTTTTATTGCTAATTTTCTTTATTTTTCTATTATGAAGGTATGGGCCATTGGCTATGATGATCGATGTTTGTACTATCGTACTGGTATAACTCGCTCTGAATTGACAGGGAAACGATGGAAATTAATAAACGCACCGTTGCAATTGAGTAGAGCAAGTAGCAACGCCAGTTTGTCATCTAGTAACAGACACAGCACTTGCGGCACACCGCAACAGCAACGTCATCAAAGCTGGAGTTCCTTGGTAGGAATATTAACGCTATCCCATCATTTGATATCTA